GGGAGAATGCCTTAAAATCAAGAACAAAGTAGCCATGACGAACCTGTTTTTTTTTTTGCTGTATTAGATTCAAACAGATGACCTGTACCCAATGAGATTATATAAAGGTGTTCAGGTACGTTGGAATGAACGCCGGGAACAATACGAGTCTTAAATATAGTTTCCGTATATCGTGCCTCCTAACGAGAACTTCGTCCAGCAGTACATAAATTAGTAGAAATAAGTAAAAAATCCGGGGGTTACTTTCAGGAAATCTCATAATTTGGTGGAGATCTAAATTTATGGATAATCTGGCAAGTGTGGTAGATGCAAAAAGCAATGACAATCCCTCGTTAACGAGGGGTAGTTGCGTGATGTTCCTACAAGAGCTAGCCGTTGCTTTGATCTTATTTCTTAGTTTCGCCCAGAAGCAGTATTTGCACTAGCTCAAATGAAACAACACCGAACGTATAAAATTTCGTTGAACCACGAGGTCTACGTTTGCAGGAAAAGACCTATAGGCGTGGCAGGGAAACCAGGGTACTCGAAGAACAACACGAAAACTATTATTCAAGTACAGTCGTGCTGAACAAAAGGTTTTCAGGAATACTTTTAGAGGAACTACGGCGATTTTGGATCACATTGGTTAAGAAACGTAGAAGAATTGAATATGAGAACTCATTATAACAAGGTCCAAAATGTTTATAGGCCAGATTGGTGTGTGCCAACTAAGTAGTAAACCAAAATTACTGACCTACCGAGATGGCTATTTATTACGCAATATTTCTCTCTATGGAAACATTCACACGTATTGCCAACAAAATGGCGTAGGCGCACTCTTTCAATCTACAGAGGGAACACTAGCGCACACAATTATTTGGAATTGTTTACATCCGTGAAAGCTGGTAACTATGTCGTGAGGGGTGGGAGCAAGACGAATGCATCGGCGGCGGGCATCACCGGGCGAAACCGAACGTCCCCGGGACAACTGTCAAGGAAGAACAGCATTAGAGCCGGCATATAGAGCATCGACAAGTATTTATGTAACATTATAATGGGGATGAGGTTCAGATAGATTCTCGTAGACTTCAGGTCAGCATATAGACTTTACGTAATGGTGATGGGAGTCGTGGAAGGAACCCACTAATGTTAATCAAGCTGACATACTTGTAATGATTTGGCAGGTTATATAGTAATTTCAAAAAAATTTAGCATGCGATCGCAAAGGTAGAGAAAAATTAAGGGTAATCCGAACATTTAGCGGTGATCACCCAATTCAATCATTTTATGTAATATTAGTAATAAATGTTTTTTCTTTAAAAAAGAAGTTCCTTTTTTGGTGCACAGCTAGTGCATGCAACCAACAAGGTCACTCCCCCTAAAATTGATTTCCTGCTCGATCTTAATAATTTTATATAACGATAAAATAATGTGTCAACATCTGTTCACCTACGCGCTCACAGACCCCGTCAAAGGAGGGTCTAGGGTGAGTACGGTCACAAGAATTTTTTATACACACACACTATCATAAGGGGGAATTGCCGTCACACTTAAGGTCCGACGGTCACTCTCAGATAGCAGAATGCACGCGCTGAATTTATTTGAAGGGCGCCGAGCGCTGTCTTACCTGCTATCCGGTCACCGGCGTTGAGCATCTCAGGGGGAAGCGCCCTGGGTCGAAGGATTGCATTTGGCTCACTGGCTACAAGTAATACGCAGGCTATATTTCTTTGTGTTCCCACGCGACAAAATGGCGGGGACAGGTTTATTATCGGTAAACTGTTTCTCAAATACATTCAACTGTTGAGCTTTCCTCTGGCTAATAATTGTGGGCGTGAATTCACGTACAGAATGGTGATGATTGTGATGTAGCTACGTCCCCCCGAAAGCATTACACGGCGGCTGCAGCGGAGAAACGCCTTGGAACGCCCTGTAGGCGGCCGGAGCGCCTATATTTTCTGATTACACCTCAGTTGCAAATTTCTGTTTACAACAATGCTCCTGGTCCCCGAGAACAGCATGTGGTACAGCAGCTTTGCATGGTCTTGAAGAGAGAAAAAAATAAACACTCGAAAAAATGTGACTTCTCTTTTTACCATTTCTAATTACAATAATTCCAGTATTTATTGTAGCACTACAAATGGCAGAAATGTGGGAGAAAAAGCTGTATGTTTAATAAAGTCAGATGGATCTACGCCTGAGATTTCATATTTGCGTGGATAGGATATGTCTTTTAAGGCGGAAAAAATTGTACAAACATAGTCTTTTCAATTACGTTACTGCTCGCGGATGAACTACGTCGTTTTCCTGAGAAACGCTACAGTTCTCCACAGGGTTTCTTCAGGATTTCTCTTCTTTTATATCGCTCAGAAGGCTGAGCTTACAGCGAGTCGAAGCAGCTCTGAGGATAGTTCTAAGTATTGGCCAAAATCTACTTATTTCGAGGGAGATAAAACAACTCAAATTTGTGATTTGACGGAAGGCAACATCGTTCCACCACCCTGCATTGGCGCCCGATTTAACAGCGCCCTTTATGGTCCCGATGCTACTGGCCTCCCGAGTTTAAAACAGTGCTGCGCGTGTCGGAAAGTGTATGTTGAGGCTGCGCCGAAACCAAAGAAACACGCTGGTGTTTTTTTCTTTTTTTGCTTTCGAAATGACTCACCCGTTATATTTGTTCAGTCATGTTCTTTCTAAAAATACTTTTGAAATTCTTTCTAAACAATTTAATCAACACATACACCCATAAATATTACCTAAATAGTGCTAAGTTTATTGTCCATTAAAAGTGTCAACTCATTTTTATTTCAATAGCATCAAATTATTTTCAACAAATTTTTCAAATGTGTATTTTTTTAAAAGTGGTAAATAAATTGAATGTGGTAGGCAAATGTTGACTCCAATGATGTTGATTCATAGGAGGGCATTTTTTGTAACAGGGCAAAACAATAAAAGAAAACATGATCTAAGGATCCACTTCTATTTTGATTCAAACATGTTTACATTAACACTAGCAATAAATCACATTTCTAAAACTCTTTATAACATATCCGATAAAGTATCAACCAGGAAGAACTTCATTTTGTTTCAAGTGACAAACATTCTAACTCTGCTATCAAGTCCATGTGTTTAAAGTCATTGGGATTGCAATTTAATCTTTCCAACAGCTTCAGCCTCTTTTCATCGGTATTCCCATAATACAGTTGGAATTGATTTGCTAAACATAGCGCTTCTCTTGCATTCTGGAAAGAGATCTCTCATTGAAAAATTAAACCTATCACAAACTCAAAAACATAATTACATCTAAAAAACTTTGTACTTACTATAACATCTTTATTAAATTCACCTCGCATCAGAATTATTCCTTTGCCTTCAAGTTCGGTGTAATGAACAATAGTTAAACATTCAGGGGCATTCTCCTTGTGAGCCTGCACATACAAATAAAACTTCAATATATACACACTACGTACTTATATGTAGATTAAGAGAATGAAAATCAACCTTATTTAGTATATTTAAAAGCAATAAAAAAATTTCATACAGGTCAGAGAAACTAGTCAACAATCTTCAAGTTCCCACCTTTATAAGGCATTAATATTTAACTCTGAAATAAATTAATTCTATATTTCTCTTACGTATTTGCCATTTTAATGCAGTGGCACAGCTTCTTAGTGCTTCTTCAAGTTATTTATAAATCAAGGACGTTAGAAGATCGAACGGAGAGACAAAGCGCACCGAGAGCTGTTGGTCACTCGAGCATTAGAACCACTTTACGCCCGTGGTGCAGACATACTTTTTTTACCCAATTTTATTGATTCAGGTTTACGTATTTACTAATTAATTAGCAGTTAACTTGACTCGGTTTGTCTTTTCGTAACTCCCTCCATAAGAGAACATGTAGCATCATTAATCTGTTTTCATATTTCCCTAGTAATCACGATTATTTCGATATCAGTAAGTTGTGCAATGTATATCGAATTCCTATCGAAGGCAAAAACAAGCAAGAATGTATCAATAAAACAAACTACAATAGGTATAGATTCCCAGGAATCCAAAAACGATGGAACATCGATAAGAAAGTGTGCAGATATTGTATCTTCCTCGTTCCGTTACTTCTTCATTGGATTTAGAGTTTATTAGCTCCAATGTTAGAAAACGGCATTATAAAAAAAATCTTCACACATTCTAGTTACTTCTAATGGTATATTTTCAACTCCTCGTTCACTTCTATTTTGGGCTACAAAAACTTTGCGACGAATGAGAAAAAGTACAATCTGCGTCTGCGCAATGGCTCAAGGAAACCGGATAAAAACCTGATCAAGATGGGAATCATTGACTCATAAGCCGAAGTGCATTACTTGTTACAAGCCTATTACGTATTTTTACAATTATACAATACAAATACAAACTAATGCGGATGGCAACATCTGTATCTGAAGTGACGTAAATACTACCCCGGGATCCGCGTGTACGATGCAACTTGTATCATAAATTCAAGCCAGGTTTGTGAAAGCCCCGGAAACCGTTACCATTAACCCAGGCACCTTTAATGAGATGCTGTTCATTTGACTACCTCATGGGCGACATCTACGATCTTTCATAGCGAAAGGCGCGGATCTTTCATAGCGAACTTCCGCTCGCATAGTTCTAAGCTGTCATTCGCTGACGGGATGTTTGGTCCGCGCTATGGATTGGGTGGCAAGAAAGCTCGGGTCCGCTTTGTGGAACTCGGAGAGCGCGCAAGGCGAGACGGCGCCCCTGTCCACCGGAGGGCCGTTGCGACTTGCACCAGCCCTCCCGCCACCCATTGATGTGGTGTCCGACGGACTCGCGCTCCTCGGTCGCACTAAGACTACGGGCCTAAAAAATTCCGCCATGGGGGTGGTGGTGGTAAGGGATTGGCTTCGGTGACCGCGGCTCCGCGTCGACGTGTGTGACGGCGGAGTCGACGGCAGCGGCGGAGATGCGTTGACAAAAGGTCCGACTACTGGGTCGGTTATGGGTGAGTCGCTCCTGCAGGTTAATTGTAGAAGTATGTACAATAAATGTACTAATTTGTTAAATCAATTACACATTTACCGTCAGGACGAAATAATCGGGATGGAATCATGGCGTGCAACCGGTACTCACAACAGGAAAATCTTTCGATGGGACTTCACGTGTACAAGGGCTAGAAGGGGCCGCGTGGGAGCACATTTAGCTGCGCTAGTAATTGTCTTGGGTAGAATCATGGATGGACGATTATGAATTACTGGCCGTTGAAATGTGAAAAAGATGATTAAATTGTTGCGAAATTGTAGGCATGTTCCGTGCTCTCGATATTCGCGCAATAGAGACTATCAGACGGTTACTTAAAAAGCTACGAAGCGAAGCATAATAGGCGGCAATCTTAACTTGCCGCAGGTAACGTGTGTGTGTGTGGGGGCGCACAAGAGATATCGATGCCACAAGTGATCGTTAGTGAACTTGTTTGGGACTACGGATATAGGTAGGTAGTCGAGGATAGAACGCAAGAGGACGCAATTCCGGAAATTTTCTTTGTTCTCACAGAACACTTAGCTTCCTGCGAATGTGTTTCGGGCATAACCAACAAGTGGTGCTTTCTGAAAATGGAACGGGGCTAAATTCAAAATGGAAAAGATCACATATTTTTCTTGAACCAATGTACGCAGATTACAAGAATATGTTCGTGAAAAATACGCCTGCTGGGTGCGAACTGGCTCTAGTCTTGAGGAAATATGGAGTAACTTCAAGTTCACTGTGCTAACGTGTTTCGAGCTTTATGCTCCTCACAAAATATTCAAAAAATAATCCGGATCTTGATTATAACGAATATATCAGACAGCCGAAAAGAAAGGAAGAGAAAAGCATACAATACGAGAAAGACGAATAAATGATCAGGAAAATATTCCCGTTTTGGAAAAAGAACTGTTAAGCGAAGAAGATTGCACATGAAAAAATTCTTAATTCGGTTTTTCATAAGGACAAAATATGGGGAAATTTTACAAGGACGTGAAAAGACGCTGGGGAAACAGATATTACATTCCAAACCGGAGACGAGATGCATTTGCAATGTTATAGGGAAATCAAACTCACATAATTTGTAATACGCGACAGTATTTACGCAACCAAAGAGTGGCAAAGCGACACTGTAACAATTGCTCATGTAATGAATATAAGGGTAACCTGTTTACAACATATTTTATTACGAATACGAATCTCGGTACTGGCTAAAAAAGAAATCTGCGGGAACTGATGGAATTCCCAGGGAAAATCTACGATTAGAAGGGGAAGGCATGATTTCGTACCTTGCGATAATTCTCGAAGTTACTATTAACAATGGAAAAGTCCCTAAAAACTAGATGAAAGCTACAGTTGTTTCTATTTAAAAAGGCGTGGATCGGTTATTGATGTGATGGATTTATTAGCTTAAAATCGGTAGAATGGAAACGTGTAGACCTCGAATTTCCGACTACCTGCGAATACTACATGGAATACGAAGAACTTCCTAGTTGAACACAAACACGGCTTTAAACGAGGCTATTCTTGCGAAAGTCAGCTAGCTACCATTTGTCCAAGTCCTTGCCGATTCGCTCGACCAAGGACAAAGGAGTGAAGCAATAGTTATTTACCTTTCTAACGATTTCGATTTAGTTTCTCAGAACTGACTTCTAAATAAAATTATTGTATAGAATGTCGATCCGTGAGTAGACATCTGGACATGGGGATTAATCCGCAGTCAGACGCAGCGAGTTCCAATAGATGGCTTTCTATCCGACGAGGTTTATGTGACGTCCGGCGTCCCTCAGGACAGCCAATTAAGGCAACTGCTTTTTCTTATGCATAATAAGGATATTGGTACCGATATTCGATCGACAAACTTTCCGCGGATGTCTGCATCTTGTATCGAAAATTTAGAAACACATCCGACTTTGATCAATTGCAAAAAGATATTGACGAATCTCTCTCTCTTAAGCATAAGCGGTTATCACAAAAACAAATATTCCAATATTTAGAACAATTTAATCGCTAATTAATGTCGCAAGAATTAAATTAATTGTTCTTCAATTTCTTGCGTATTTAAGGGTCAGCTGCCTTAAAATTAATTTGGCACCACCACAATAGTTTACCACAAAAACAAATATGCCGTCATGTAGAACGATTTAATTGCTAATTAATTACGCAAAATAATTGCTTTCCAAACATCCGAGAAATAAATGGTGAATGGTAGTATAAAAGAGAGAGGATTGATCTTAAGAACCAACCCTGCGGGACATCATGCCCAGTTAGGAATGAATTGCAAAGATAAGTGATTTATTTCTACTTTTTGCGATCGTTGTTGAAGGTACGAGGATATCTAATCTACGGCATAATTACAAATTACATTTCTTTCAGGTAATTTTGACAGCAAAATGTTATATCAATGACGTCAAATGCTTCCGAAAGATTTAATAATATTCCAACAAGTGATTTACTTTGATGCATTAATGAAGCGACTTCTTTAAGAAAAGAAAGTATGGCTGATTTCCTAAATCTACGTTGAGTCTAAAAACGCTTCGTTTTTTTCTGAGAAAAGTTTCTATTCGTAAACTCGAAGTCCTCTCTAATATCTTAGAAGGAACTGACAAAAGAGAAACTGGATAATTTTTAAATTAATTTTTTTAAGTCTTTTCATTTTTTTTGTTTGTTTTGATATTTAAAAATATTCCTGTGGACAAAGAAGGATTGAAAATGTGAGTTAATGGGTACATAAAGGTAGGTGAACAATCTGGAAATTCATCAAACAAATTGAATTATGAAACTTGATTTTTATATTACGTAATTATAAGTTTTAGAACGCAATTTCACTATACATTGCTTAAAGTGTAGGGGAAACGTGTGTCTGCAAGAGAATGAGAAAAAATTCAATTTAAAAAAGGTAAAGCAAAAGGAATACAAATGACAAGCACAATCCATTGAATAATATTAATGAGATTTATATGGAAAACAAATTAAATTAATTATAATTTAATGATTGTTTACTTTTCGCTCTTGTGGATTTTACAAAAATATTTTTTTGTACTGCGATGGTTCAAATATTTTTTTAATTAAAATGAAGATAAAAGTAGGGGAGAAGGTCCAAATATGGGCTAGCTTTTGATTTTTGAATGTAGTTGGAACATTTTTGGACATATGGGGGAATTTAAACTTTGACCCGTAGTTAAACCCTTATCCTACAATTCTAGAAAGTTTCAAAATTAAAAACTAACAGTTTCATAAAAAATGCTTTATTAAAAACAAAAATTGCAAAATGTCGCATTTTGAAAATGGTGTCCAAGTATGGGCTACCCCTACTTTTTGGAGGAAGAAGTAATGATAATAGTAATGACAGTAAAATTAACTTACAAATAGTATAAAGTAAGCACAAATTCGCAAATTCACATGCAAAAATCACATGTATATACATCTCTCACCCAACCAGCACATTCTGTATGTGCCCACCCATGACATATAGTACTGTACCCAATCTTCACCATTTCTGTCTTCGGAAAACAACCGTCGGCAAAACAAACGGAAGCATCATTTGTTGAAGGGGTTCTTGTGGGCTGTGATCCCTCAAATTCCGAATCGGATCATCCAGGGGTGGCTAACCTCACTAGCCCATACTTCGATCAAACTCCCTTTTACAAAATCATCGTGGCAGCCATTACTGGTTTACAGTAGGTTTAATAAGGCATTGAAACAGTTCGTCAACTCAACGTTAACACAAACCTGCTGCCAAATAACATTTACAGCCCACTAGCTAATGATGAAAAAAACAATTTTGTTCATACCTGCTGAAGGTTTGATGGAAAAACACGAAACCGATAGTCTTTTTACAGCTACTAAACGCGTTGACTGATGGACGGCCAATTCTTGTCGCTCTTCAGCAGGACCGAAGGGAATAGTTTCACGCCATTCCCGATAGAGTGCGACATCCTCGGACTTCACAACAGAAACTAGCCCGTTTTTTTGACCCCTTCGGATCTTCTCTACGCAAAAAGGATACTGCGAGGGCGCGGTACATGCGGTACTGGAAAGTCTTTTTCGAAGCACAGAATAGTAAGGACCAGCCGGACCAGTAACGAGGGGACACTTGGGGAGAGGCCGGTTCTCTGCGACTGACTATACGCAAGGGGAATCGCCAAAGAACAGGGACTCGACCTGGATACGAAGCTGAAACTCTTGTTTCAACAAAAGTGAGCGACATAAAAGAGAGACAAAGCCAGGGCTCGTTCGACAGCAGTACGACACTCAACTACATGACAGAAAAGTTCGACCAATGACATCACACTGTGATTAGTTCGCAGCGTCGCCTCCGCCAATTTCAATATCTCGAGTTGGAGGTGGGTGTAGCGACATACAAAATTGGAATTAGGCACGGAGGTCAAATCGAAAGGAGACCAGTTCTTTATCTAAGCTCGCGTCTAGTGCGTCTCCCAGAACTTTAATGAACGATGCACAATCTCGAGTTCACCCAGGTGTGCCGAATGACGAGAGCAAGTTGACGTCGTCGTAGTGGTAGTAGTAGTGTGGTGGTGGTGGTGGTGGTGGTGGTGGTGGTGATAGTGGTGGTAACAGGTGGTGATAGTGGTAGTAGTAGTGGTGGCAGTAGTGATGGTGGTGGTGGTAGTAGTAGTAGCAGCAGTAGCAGCAGCAGCAACAGTAGTAGTAGTAGCAGCAGCAGTAGTGGTAGCAGTAGTAGTAGTGAAAGTAAAGATAGTTTCATGTGTTTTGTTCTAAGCAACGTTTCGACCATCAATTATATATAAAAATAAGTAAAATAAACATAGTCATTGTGAAAATTTACGTCTTGAGTTTCAATGGAAGTTCCTGCTCTCCCGTAGTCTCCGTAGTATTGTGCGGTAAGCGTAATTCCTCCCCTGCCTGAGAGTAAATAATTCCCCATGAATCACGGTCTGAAGCCAGTGGGAGACGCGTTGCTTCACAATATACAAAAGCAAATATAAGTAACGTATTTAACGTAGATAAACTTACATTTGTTTGTGATAACTAATTGGCAGACTATTTTACAATAGACAATGTATCACATTGGATTATATCTCGTTAATAACACTTTTCAGACACCAAATGTTGCTGTCAGCGTCGCCATTTGGCAACCTCATTGCTTGCTGGTTTCAGTTATAATGGAAAGCAATAAATGACAAAATGTACAAAAATCGTCACATCGCAAATCTATCTTATGTCTTTTATTCTACAACATGACACTTGAAAACCAATCAGCCATGAATCTGAAGAAAAAATGAATAATTATATTATTTTTACATGTTAACATACCTGATAATTTATGAGAGAAGTGAAGTGTACTTCGTCTCTTTCAACTTGGCACAAAAAGAATTCATATCCTTGTCCTCTTGGAAGAGGGAGAACAAACTGAGAAACAGAAGATAGTACAATAAACACATTTAATCACCTTCTACTATTACATTAGAATACAAGATAAGTTGATTCTTCAACATGTATGAACATCTATTTCATTTTCACCAAAATATTATTTGTCATTGCTCACATTTGTCTTCAGAAAATGTAATCACTGCCAATATGATATAATTTTATTATATTCTTTTAAAACAGTACTTAAGATTTTTTCACTTTCTACCTTTGTTTTTAGTAACAAAAAATAATAATACAAATATTTCCTTATTTATTAGTTTGTGCATATCAATATATGACAAGTGACATTATTTTTTTGAATTAACATGTTAATATAACTCCCATACTACCTCAAACGTTTGATACACATAAATGCACTTATGCTCGTACCTCAGTATAAGCTTGCAAGCACATACATTCGTACACATATTTTCCCAATTTTGCATTCTTTATCTATATAAGATTAAGTTTTTTCGATCTGGCAACTACCCACCTGATAAGACAAGATCTACAAAGTTTTTAGCTTAACTCACAACCCATGACTGGTAGCATCTGTTTCTGTTTTGGCTATTTGTCAACCGCGTGTCTTTGCCTCCTTTCAAGACAGCCGTGGCCAGCACGTCGATACAGCAGAGGAAGTGAGCGTCAGATCATAAGCTGCAGCATCTTTCCTTTCTGTGGACGCGGCTCTCACCAGAATCTTTTCGCACTGCGCAGGGTTGCTGGGGTGGGGAAACATCTCCTTAGGCGATTCTGCCCAGTGTTTAAGAAACACTCTGTTATACTGAAGATGTGGAAGGAAGTTATGACTGACTTATCAACGTATTATCAGCAACGTAAAACATTTAATGAAAGCCGGCTCAGTGAGAAATCAGAAAGATAGCTCGTGAAGCATGACAGCCAAGCTCTTCATTATTTATAACATAATAATAATAATAATAATAATGGAACCAGGAAATTTAAAAAATGGAAAATCTTAATAAACTTAATAAAATAAAGTAGTAACTTAATAATTATTGACAATAATTAATGAAAATTATAAAATATTATTTTGTTAAAATAACAATAACATTACTGTACCTGACCTTAGAGTAAATTCTCAAAGTGACCACTCTGTGATGCGTCGTAAATCAAGATAAGTTGGTTTATTTGCATACACTTTACTCTTCAGAAAACCCTACAGGAAAAAGTCCAATGGAGAAAGACCTGGGGAACGATGTGGCCAGAGACCTTTCAAAACGATTCGTTCTCCAAAAAGAAAATACTACTGATCGCCGTGAGACATGGGCCGCCGTCATGCTTAAACGAACAGTACCTATTGTCTTCTTCTAAAAGAGACAAGTTTTCTATAATGTCTTTATACTTTTCCGAAGTAATTGCCTCCGTTAAAAAAATTGGTTCGATAATCCTAGACGGGATTTGGCACACCCAACACCAACTTGTGGAGAATTGTATCTGGTTTGAATGTGCACCACAAATGACAATTCTGTTTATTTTCATTACCGCCCAGAAGAAACCAAACTTCGTCACTAAAATACAATGTGTCAAGAACGTGAATCCATAATTGAATAAAGCTCCTAAACCAATGGCAAAAATGCATACGCGCGTCTGTCTCGTGTTTTCAGTTCTTGAACAATCTGCCACTTGTAAGAGCGCATTTTCCATTTCTTTGTTTGCAACATATGCAGTGCTAAGAGAAACATTGCACTGCTAATGCAATTTCGACAGCGACATCTCAGGAGAGTGCTTCAAAATCTCCTGAAATCTAATAATTTATCTTCCTTTAAAATCCTGCTTCCCGCACTGCGAATCCCCTTCCTGTCCACAAAGATCCCAGTGTCCCTGAAGAGCTGGATTAATCAACAAATTCTTGACTTGTAGGGAACTGGCGTTTCGGGAAAGTTTTCTTAAAACATTTCCCGACTTTAAAATATATTTAGGGCCGAAGTAAACTTCCACCCAAAATAAACGTTGATACTACGATAACATTTTCGAAGCGATTCTTCTTTCTACGATCATGAATGACTGCCCACGTGCTTTCTCTTTCTTTCAACTAAAATAGCCCCGTTCTCCCACTCCAAAATCTGCGGCCATGCGACTGCGACGGGGAGTGGGTCGCTAAAATTGAAAAGGAAGCCAAAGGTATTTCACGCGTGTCCGAATTGCCAAAATAAGTTTCGTGTTCTCAAAAACGGGTTGTGAGTTAGAGTAAAGACCCTGTACTTTCTATTTATTTCATTTTTTTACAAAGACACCATTCACTTGGATCAGAGTAGTGAGAAATGTAAAGGAAGAAATTATTGTTGACTAAAAAGAAATCATATTTTTTTAGAAACCAACGTATCCCCTTAGGTTTATGCCAAAATATCAATATTTATTGGTATGTAATGTAACGGTACAAGCTCCTGCGTTGGAAAATTTCCATGAAAAAAAAGAAGAAGAAAAAAAAAATAGCAGACGCCCGCGACGCAGCTGCGAGAAAGGGGGGTCGTAGGTATTCGCGCCCGTTCGCCTATTGAGGCGAGGGTTGTATAAAAGTTGATGGCAGGACACCCCCGCGCCAAATGTCAAGTGGGTGCCGCCTATTCAAGCGACCGCTCATAAAATGAACCCCAACGCTGAGTGCGCCTTCTCGGGGGAAGAATTTACAACCAAACGGTCAGCGGCGCACGTGCGGTGCGAAGAAAACAGGCCGATAGTTTTTTTACAACAGCAACGGACATTCTGGCCGTTTAAGAAAGAGTTCCCGTGTGATTGGTCAGACACACGCCTCCGCCCTGCTCCGGGAAATTCAACCCCGCGTATAGGGAGGATACACGTTCTTTGGAGGGAGGGGGTACCGAGGTTTTATGTTACTAGGCCGCCGCTCGGTAAGCACTGTGTGGCTTGAGAGGGCCGCGAGTGGTCGATTCGAAGGGGTGGCTTGAGACGGCCGCGAGTGGTCGATGAGACTTTATAACTCGGCCACGAGAAGTAACTCAATGTCTTGACTCGGCCATGAGAAATCAATTGATTTCGATCTCGATTTGATAGTTCGGTCACGAGTATTCACTTCGCTTGCTCAGTTAATCAAGTAGCATTCGAAGCATATTGCGAAGGGAAGTTGTTTGGCTTCCATTCATCGCCGATGATCACCGTGGCTGCCTGAGGTTGGTGACGCTGATTGGATTAGTGGGCCCCGCGGGAAGCGCGGCGACATGCTGGGAGCCCCTGTGTTCACAGCCTCTGCCTGGAAGGGGGCGGCCCGAACAGGGACGACGGGCGACTACACCACCGGGCGTGCAATGAGGCCCGCCAACAGAAACGACGGTAAATAATCCGCTTGGCTCCCGCATAAATGCGGTCGAATACTTACTGAGCGAAGCGAGGGGGTGGAAAGGGTGCCTTCAGAACAAAGTAGCCATGACGACCCGTTGTTTTTTATTGTATTAATTTAAATAGATGACCATGTCATAATAAAAGAAAGGGTCGTTTTATATTTTTATAAAAAATTGTAAAATAATTGTAATTCATCATCATCAATTTTTTTAAAGTAAATGTTTGTTAATGCAAATGTTTTTGACAATTATTATTGAAATTCCCATTCCCGTTCCAGACAAGACACGCGTGGGGTTACAGTAACAAGGATTTACAAAGAACAACCCAAACACAGTGAATACATACTTATAATCCAAACTCAATACATACATCTCGTGTAATAGTTAGTTCAGCGCGTTAGACATTCCTCCCCCTAAAGATACGCTGATACCCTGGTTTGTTGCGATCTCTAGTCGATCGTCTAGGGGCATTGTCGGCTCTTCTTTTGGAATCTTTTGTAAGGACTTCGAACTCGATGTGGTAGTTCACCGACTTGTTTGAACGATCTCGTCCTGGTTCATCACAGGAACACTTTGGAAATCTTGACACACTTCTTCCAGACTACGTTGGTCATGCTCTCTAAGGGATATTAGTTGCTCTTATTGCTATCAAGTCGCAATTCTTTTTGATTTATCCCACCAAACTTCATCAATGTGTCTTCTCGGAATGTCTCCTTAGAGTACCGTTCACCGTATTGCTCCTTGCAGCCTCTTTACCACATTTGGTTTCCACTTCCCCTTCCCATAATTTCAATATAGGAATGCTGTACTAATCACAAACTTCCGCGCTGGAGTAGGTTTTCTTGTTTTCCTCCCCACAGCTGGCGATTTCCCTGACAGAAGTCGTACGTAGCGTAGTCAACCTCCTTCCCATAAGAAGTTCTGATGAACACTTCCCCGTCGATTCGCAAGGAGTCGTTAACGAATCTACGCGTCCGTTGGTTTTCCACTTCCACTCCTGAACAGGAACTTTCTTCATTAAATACTAAACTCAAGTGTTTAGACCATCCCCTCTGCTACTCCATTTGTTGATGGATGGAAAAACCCGTCCTTGAGTGAATTGAATTTCCTGAGTGTAGAGATGCTCCTTTATCTCCGCAGTGATGACTCCGATGATGGTTCCACTGACCGAAACCATGGTGTCGCCCGCGTGTCTCTCAAGTTGATGGCCGTTGTGACAAAAAAGATCGCATGGTCTCCATTACCTCCGACCACTTTGAATCCACTGCAATTTCAAACGTGTCATAGCGATGGCCAAATTGGCCAAAACCAATATGAATCCTTGACCACGATTTGTCAGTTTTTGGCCAATTCACCGGTTTACTGTGGGAAAATACGCTGTTCTACGCACGTCTGACAATCTATAATCATCGCCTCTACATGGCGGTCAATTTCCAGCCAATTCAGAGCAATAGCTTTAGTAAAAGCGGTTCGCTTCCTTTCATGTGTCCAGAAGACCGACACGTGATGGGTAGGGTGAGCACCGAATGTTCGCCGCCTGGCAAATAGCAACTCATTCACATTACTAGATATTCGGCTAGCACTCGCTTGCTACATGCCGAATGTGCGGAGCTGCCTTAACAGTCATCCCTTGATGGACTTTGTGCAATAGACTGATCACTTTTAGTTTGGGTTTTCGATGTACTATTATCTGACTTGCCCACAAAACGCAACCTCGATATACTGAGAATTCCTCTCTGTTTTGTTTTTTGCGACGAACGGCACATTTGCAAGAAATTGACTGGACCAAGGATAAATGTGCGTTTTACTCTGCATAGTTGTGTCCTTGTCTGTTCTTCTATGTTCCAGAGCGTCAATGGAAAATCATCTGGAGCGTCTTCTAGCAATACCACTGCTGCTGGATGTGGAATGCCCTCTTTCCTGCTGGGCAACGGTAAATTCACATTTCCCGGCTTTTGCTCATGCACCATTCCTGTGAAGTTGTAAGAAAATTGCCATCACTCTCAGCCAGACTTCCACTTCTGTCCTGCAGGTTGGATCCCTGTCAACAAGTTCTCCTCAACCGTTGAAACAACGACGGAGCCGATGAGATCGCAAATGGCAGTCTTTTTGCAAGGAAAACTCCCTTTGTTGTGTTCTTGGCGAGGATCACTGAAGATTTTTCAGCCACGGATACTTGCGTATATGGAGTCTAAATATATTTTTGTAAACAGCATTCCTAGTGCCAAAGTTGTCAGCGCTTTAATAACAATCGGTAGGGGTATATTCGGTCTTTATTATTGTAATTATCGTCGCCATCACAGGTGCGTACGTCTGTTGTCTTCCGAATTGGAGCCTATTGCGACGGCTTCACCGTTTCGAAGACACTTTTCTTTCACTGTTCTTTCTTCTCTGCTTCAAGTATGTTTGCAGCGAATAATGCATCTGGTGCTCTCTTCAACATCGATTGTGCCTTGTCCTCGATATCAATGTGCTCTAGATCTCCAGTATATTCCCTTCTTCTGTAAAAGCGTATATAAATCTACGTAAAACAGTACTGAAAGTCCATCTACACCCATCCTGTGCACGTTGTCGATCGAAATAGTCAACACCTTAAAACACTTTCTCCCCATCAAACTACACCCCTTCAGTGGCAGTTCGTGACTTTGTTGCAGTGTTGCATAACCACCTTAAATTTTCGGCCAATGTCCTTACGCGTCAATAAAAAAAAATCACTTTAATAACGTGCGAGTGGTCTATCATCGAATGAACGTCTTGTCTACAGGCGTCAACAGACGAAGAGAGTCCCCAGCGAGCATCCGAGTGTTGACGTCATTGAGGGAGTTGGATTTCAGCTACAACAACCGGAAGTCCTAGCATACGATACTAGCAGAACATTTTTTTATTATCCCATACACTTTCTAATGTGGTGCAAATTATTCTCAACACCGACAAGTGGAGCTGCGCCTCTCAAGCGGATTTCTGCCACCGAGGTATATGGAATTTCGAAGATAGTTGGCACAACTGCATATGCTGGTATGCTTCGTGGACGAATTCTGTCGAAGTTGTTTCGAGTATACAGTGAATTACGGTGATTAAAAGTACTCAAACTTCATTTATTAAGTAATTCATAGGTTTATGGAATATATATATATATATATATATATATATATATATATATATATATATATATATATATATATATATATATATATATATCCCAAAAGCAATAACAAAAATTAACTAAAATGTAACAATGAACTATACCTTAGAATTATGAAACCACATATGTGTCTTTCTTAGAGAACAGCAACACTTAACAATCACACACACATGCAGGGCTCCTGATCATATGATTTAATGAATAACAATTATTTACACGTTAATGCAGTCAACTAATACAACATATCTACAAGTCTTCCACACAATTTCATATTTGTCTTTAGCAACTGGAATAACAATATTTATCAGAATATGTTTGTTAAAAGAACATACATACCACTGGAAATTTTGCTCCTCTTTGGTAAATAACTTTATACACTTCCACAGGGATAGTGGCAGATATACCATCCTTATCTTTGAAATGAGTTTCCCATATCTGAAAAAGTCAAACAATTCAAAAGTAATGTAAAAAAATGAAACTAAGATGTATTTTAAAAGGTTTCAGTAATCATTGTCCAGGAAATCAATGTTTTTAGGACACTATGGGATATTAGCCACGAAAGGATTTTGTCTCCTCTTTTGCGACTTGTTTTTCTTTCTTCAATGTATCTAAATACGAAGTTTCACACTCATTTGGTCAATAAAAACAATGTAAATATTCCTTTCAGTTTAGAATAATGGACTCAAGCGAGCACTTTCTGAACACTTTTAAAACACTTTAAAAAATGTTTAAATGAAAGTGGAACCTTTGCCACTGAACTCCCTGTATGGTCTATTCTTACAATAAGTTTTTTCAATTAAATATTTTGATTTCTCGGTATCGGGGACTCCCAAAAACTGTATTTTAACAAAAATCTTAACAAGATTTTTTTCACCAACAGATATTTATCTATATTATGTATACAAGAAAGTAATAAAAGGTCCAGACAAACGTGAAAAACTAAATTGAGTAATAAGCGTTTCCAATAACCCATTGAAAATTATTTGCAATTCTATGGTAAAATGGTGTCAAGTCCCCCCCCCCCCAAATCAACAATTTTCATAACATGATTTTCCTAAAGTAATTTTAAAACCCAAAGTGGCGTTCAATATATCATACACGTACGGCAGATGACAATAATTTCTATTGCAAACAATTTTCCATTGGTTAAATATAATTTATTGATATATAAGTAATATTGTTAATTGAATACTGAATAACTAAGTAAACAATATTGAAATAAATATACAATGTATATATATATATATATATATATATATATATATATATATATATATATATATATATATATATATATATATATATTAATCCCGAGAAATTAACATATTTTTTACCTTAGAAATTTCCTCTGCAGACATATCTTGGATGAGATCAAGTTTCATCACATCACTTAAAACCTGAGAAGAAATTAAAAATAATTTTAAGTACATCATTATTATATGCGAAGAAAGGATTTTTTAAAATAAATGTTCTTAAATTTCCAGATGGCATTCAAAGTAACAAATTAATTCATAATACATTACGCGAGATGAAGAGTCATTCAACCTCTAATAGATTGGAATATGTGATTTAAATTTTGTTTAATATTTTCGAGACAAATTCAAAACAGTTATACTCTGTGATGTATTTACGATGACGTATTAGTATTGTCCACTAACTTTATGAAATAGTTGGTGCTTAAGTAGCCTGAAGTCAACATTATTACATTGCCAAATTTCGTCGGAAGGCTAACTCCTTTCAATCGATTTTGTAGGTAGTCACACAGAGATGTCTCGATATCTCACACGTGCGCTATTTGACAGCTCACGCGAGCTGGCGCTCTTTCCGCCCTCTCCCCCTTGCCACCATTAGCTACACCCAGCTGCAAGGCAAACCGAAAAGGTACCCATAAAACCCGGAAGAACTGCCGGGCTGCCAGAGTGACAGTGCCATCCTCACGCAAAGTCTGAAGGCAACAACCTCTAGAACTCCCGCCTGCCATGAATGAAGAGGTCTCTCGATGTTCATCATACCATGCCTCGCTCACTTGACACCTGCGCTGCCAGATTACCTTTGTCTAGCAAATGTCCCCTTGCTAATCTTTGGGACTAGCTATAATTCTTAATCCACGGTAGCGACACCCAGATGTCTCCTCGGCCACCCATCATCAGTAGCTCAGCAAGGAAACCTATTAGAACGATCAGACTAAGTAGGTTTCAAAGTAGGGTCTACCCTAACCAAAAGGCAACTACAACAGCGTAGAAGTAGCTAAATAAACCACAAGCATAGGGCAGTATGTACGTGACCACATGAACGCTCGCAGCAGTGGCCTTCAATCCAATCACCGGCAGACAAGTAACGACGACGACGAACCTTTTCGACTGTAATCGACACGGTCGTAGGCTAGGCTAGGCTAGGCTAGGCTAGGCTAGGCTAGGCGAGGCTAGGCGAGGCTAGGCGAGGCTAGGCGAGGCTAGGCGAGGCTAGGCGAGGCTAGGCGAGGCGAGGCGAGGCGAGGCGAGGCGAGGCGAGGCGAGGCGAGGCGAGGCGAGGCGAGGCGAGGCGAAGCGAAGCGAGCAATCTCTCCTCCCGATGACATCGCCAGACCTGCGCTTCTTCGGCGCAAAACCTACGGAACGGCCGACGAGCAATTCTCTATAACGAACTAATCCATATTTTGTAACAGCAGCCCCCTGTTCAGTATTAAAGATTGTCACACAAGTGGACAAAGAAGAGGGTTACTTCGTTTCGAAGGAATTATCTCCCAATGTAATAGAGCAGAGCTATTTTAAATAAACGTGTGCCAGCCATTCGTGCGGGCGACATTTAAATCATCAATTAAAGTTCCCGATCTAGAGCGACTCACAAATTCACGACATCGACCAATTCACGAACAAAACAACAAAAAAGGCTAGGAAGCGAAACAACGCGTAAACCTGTTCATCCTACCCTCACTAATTTTGGCAGACCACAATGGTCGCCGTTTTCCCTTCATTCCAGTTCTTAGAAAGTTACAGTTCCGCTACTCGGTTTTATCTATTTTTAAACGTAATGGAAGGTTTGCAGATTTGGATTCCTACACGAGGATACTACCAATCGGGATTATCAAATGTCAGTATTCATTCATTCATCTAAGTCCAAATCCCTGCTATTGCTCTGGCGTACGTTTGGGTGGGAAGCGGTCGACTTCTAGTCGTATCCGTCCACTACCCAGACCAAACCTTAGATCAGACTGGAATTGATGCGCTTCTCGTATTCAATTCCGAAGTCATCCTTATGGGCAACGACAACAAATTGCCAACCTTGTACAGGTCTGCGCACCGAATAGTCGTACACATTTCTCGGAAGTACAGAATCGAAACGCGCCCGTTATTTATTTTATGCTCGTGAAAGGCGTTCAATGCGTTCAATAGCCGCACTGGATTCGGACCGTCATCCAGTAACATAAGTAGTGGCATCTCTTTTATTTATTTATGTCAAAGACAGTTAAAAACTGTGTATGAAGTGCTATGGGGAGAAGTTAATTTGAAGTGGTATTTATGTCCAGAAGGGGGGGGGGGCAAAACAAGGGGCCATCTCAGCATTTGGTCGAGGATCAGGGAAACTGGACGAAAACCTGATCCAGATGGGAGTCATTGACCCAGAAGCTGAAGTACAATACTTGTTACAGGTTCTTTACAATTATACAATCCAAATGGTATAAAATATACATTAAATAACATTGTTAAAATTAATATTACTTTTCTTTTGGATGCTCGGTATAGAGTCTAATTGTATAGAAACAGTTGTGTAGCAGAAAAGATTTTACTGGGGATTTAACTTTTGTACCGAATTTAATCGTTTAATGTCATCTGGCAAGGTTAAAATAATGTACATGTATTATATGCGAATTTGTTTGTAGTAAGCTGTTGATACTGTCACATGATGAATATGATTACAACGTCGAGTGTTGTAATTATAGAAAACGGCGTTTACTGAAAATATATTCCCGCCCGTAAGTCATTTTTGACAAAAAACACTGATTCATATGTGAAGAGACAATGTAATGGTATAATACCTAGATGAATAAAGAGAGACATACAAGAATCACGTGGGAGGGATTTACTTACTATTCGTACAATTCGTTTTTGTAACCTTTAAGTCTGGGCACTATGAGATGTTTGCCCAGAATATTATGGCATATCTCAGGCGGGAATGAACATTCGCGAAATATATCTCTTGTAGCGAAACGCCAAGCTAACCATTGAAACCTCGAGTGACTCCGACTGGGCAGGTTTCGTGACAGCTGAATTCTTGGCTTGAGCAGAAAGCACCATATACGGAAGCTGAGGTCAACAAAGCAGTGAGTCACTACTGTTTTAGTGCAATCGATGGGGAGCCAAAAGGTGAGGTAGAAGATTATTTTTATTTTGTTTATATTTTTATTAATAAGCAAATCCCAAGTCTTCCACATCGAAAAAACGTTCGGGCGGGGACGAAATTATGAGGAACCAGACTATCGTTTAGGTGAGGTTATCATCCCAAGAGTCTCATCATGCAAGTATTTAGGCATTCATCTAGATAGTAAATTAGGGTGGGAGATGCATATAAATCAGACAGTAAGAAAAACGTGGAAATCTTTGCATTTTGTAATGCGAATACTAAAGAAAAGTTCTGCAAACGCCAAAGAGTTAGCATATCTTACGCTGGTTCGCCCTCTCATGGAATACGGAGTTGCGTGTTGGGATCCATACAGAAAGGCGCACCGGAAAAATCTAGATAGAATACAGAGAAAAGCGAATAAATTTACCTATAGAAGTAACGCAACAAAAAAGTCATGGGAACCTCTAGAAACGAGAAGAACAAAGGCGAGGCTTTGCGCTCTTTATAAATCGTACGTAGGTCAACCAGCTTGGAAGGAAATTCAGGTTAGATTAGAAAAACCAAATTATTTCGGCCGAAGCGATCACACCCACAAAATTCGAGCAAGGAAACAAAATTCAGATCTTGGGAAGTTTTCCTTTTGTAACAGAACAATTAAGGATTGGAACAGTTTACCTGCAGCAGTTTTCAAAGCTTTTCCTCTCAGTGTCCGAAGTTTTAGAAACAAATTAGAAAAATATATTAAATAAGTATGTGCTGTGTAGTGCGGTGAAGTGCTGTGAAGTGCTGTGAAGTGCTGGTTAGGGTGTAATTCAAAGGTAATCCAAAGCAAAAAAAAAAAAAAATGTAGTGTAGTGAAGTGAAGTGAAGTGAAGTGCGGTGAACGTGATCAATGCTCTTTTCAATGCTGCTTTTCGTCTTGTACTGTATTGTACGGTATTATTATTATTATTATTATTATTATTATTATTATTATTATTATTATTATTATTATTATTATTGTTATTATTATTGTTATTATTATTATTATCATTATTATTATTAATGTAAGTGTTGTAATTATTGCCATTAACTGCCACCGGGTCATACCCAATTGCAGTTCTAATAAATGTATGTATGTATGAAATACTTCGGGACACGTTTTGGTAGCCAAAAAACCAAAACGTTTTTGTTTTTTGCGTAATAACTTTTTAATAGTTGATCTTGGTGCAAAAATAGTTATGTACAAATTCAAAGGTCATACATTTCTCTACCCACTGGCTCTGTGCACTCCTTTATGTAGTCGAGGCTCACGTGACCTACTACGTCACGCCGCCCCCGCCGCGCTCTATTGCTGACCATTGAAGGTTTAGGTCTCCGTTTCTTAAGACTAGAAGACCCCAAAGCCTCGTGTCTCTCGTTTCCGCGTTCTTGTTTTAAGGAAAACCCCTTCTCTCCCTCCTGTGGCGAGGAGTTTCCTCTTACTAATCCCTTACCAAGCGTCCCCAAATAGATGCCACGAGGCACGCTGGCTAATACGTTACAATATCACCAAATATTAAGTAATATAATTTAAAAGGAAGTTCCAATCCAATTTATAGAATTCAGCAACTATGCTGTTAGGTAAACTAATGCATTAATAATCAACACAGTAATAGAATTAAAGCTTATAAAGAACACTCCGATTTGTAGGCATAAGCAGCCAAAGGAATTCAAATTTGACGCCACGCTTGAGTTCATTCAGTTTGTCTACTCTTTGAAGAGCTTTAAGAAGAAAATATACATTCCAAAATTCTCGCATTCCAAAAATATTTTGGCCCAAAAAACTGGGAATTCTCACACAAGTATGTTTAATTTTGGCCCAAAAACCTGGGAATTCTCTCACAAGTAACAAAAAATTAATTTTGTGTCAATCTTTGAAATAAACCTTCAAATTGCTTCTAAAAGTGATCGGTATATCAAACCCTAGCCTGTCGGTGGGAAAGCGTGCACCTAACTTGCACATTGTAGAAATTTCCAAGAAAACAATTTTTTCCACATGTCACGACGAGATCGCATTATCTGACAATCTGGATCCGTGAACAGTTTCGTAGCAATCGTATACACAAGCTAAGTAATACGCGTATTGGCCACATTTTTCCTTCACAAATAGAACAATTACGGACTGGAATACGTTGCCTGTGACAGCCATGGAACCCTTCTTCTAGGTGTACAGAGATTTAAAAGATATTAACTAACGATATTTGTAAACTTTATTAATTAGTAAGTTAGAGATATTAAAATAGTTATTTTATTATTAATATTAAGATAATTACAATAAAATGCATTGTTTTATTATATATATATATATATATAATATATATATATATATATATATATATATATATATTTAGAATAGAAGTGTCCTGACATGTTGTGGAGTGCAGTGTATTTATTAGTTAAAATATCTGTGCAGAACATCCATAAAATGAAGAGTGAATGCTATTAGTATTCTTTCTGCTTGTTTTGTTGTTTCATGGTGATGATTTTTGTTGTTCTAACTTTTTAAATATAAATAGTAACATCTGATGTACAATATCAATGTAATACTTTGGAAAAAAGATTATCTTAAAATAATTTAAAAGTACATTGAATTAATATTCCTAATTGTAATATGTAAATTGTAGTGTTCTGCCATCAGGTTGTATAAACCTACCTGCAGAAATAATAATCTATTTAAATCTAATCCTAAGTTTTTGGTAATTTATTAACATCAATAAAAAAGAATATTGATCTTAAATCCAGAATTGAAATTTCATGAAACGGTATGGATAATGTTAGTTTATGAATGAAACATTTTGAGTAGATAATAAAAAACTTGAAGTTTAACCTCGATGATGAATTAAATGCCAACAGCAAGAGACTTTCATCACAAAACAATCACTTATACAGAAACTCTCCATGATCATTTCACAGTTAAAGAAACAAAAGGTTCCGGGGCAGGCACCTTACATGTCACAAACAACTGTATTTTTTATTAAATTTTTAAGCAAAGAAATTTTCCTAGATACAAGGAATGAAAGCTATGTATTGTCTGAATAATATTTCTGTCTATGACAACTTACAGAGCGCCATTGTGCAGTTCTGTCATCTACCATTGTGCGCTCTTGTTACAACTATTTTTCTGTTACTGCGAAAGCCTGTTGTTGTTGTTGTTGTTGTTGTTGTTGTTGTTGTTGTTGTGATCTGATGCAAGAATGACACATGACCAGGTGTCTGGTGCCCAAGTATGTGACAACACTCTACTCCATCCTGAGCTGTCAAGTACATAGAAATATTATTTGGACAATAACACCAATCCACAAATCTGATGTTAACTACAGATCTGCTTCCATTCGAAATGTAATCCCAAAAATGTTGCAATAAATAATAATTAAAAAGACCTCAAAAGATACAATTTTTTGGAAACATTGAAGAACAACATGAATTCATAAATGGTAAATCCAAAATTTTAAGAAATCAAACATCATTAAGTTTTAATCACAGCATATTAGCATACAAAGGCACAGACTTGTATATTCTAAGCATACTTTAGGAAACAAACTGCATTTTTTTCCAAAAAGTTGGCATGAAATTATTTCTAATGGCAATGAGTTGAAAAGAGACCTGTTAATTATAATATTTACAAATACTTGGCAATTAAAAACTAAACTGTTATGTTAAACTGTCTCGTTTAGAGAAACAGCATTTATTACTTCATACTAACGGTAATGGGTCAGGTATCAATAATATAAGATACAATGTTAAATACCTTAGTTTTATGTTGTTTACTTAGATTTCTCAGAGCTTCTTTGGGTTGAGTGACTGAAGAAAAATCTCTTTCATCGGCAGGTCCAAACTTTGGTTTGGCCTTTTTCTTCTGACAGTCTTCCACACGAGACTGGAAATCTTCTGGGGAGGTCCTGCATGAAAATATTGGTGAAATTGCTTGAGTATCAATCTACCATAATGAAATACATGTTTCCACATATGCCAACACTAGTCTTTAATTATGCAGTAATTACAACATACAAAATAAAAAACAGTAGCTTAACAACTATCAGCACTACTGACAATTCTGAAACCAGAAAGAAATGTAATTGAACTAAAATGAGTTCCTTGACATAGCGACCCATTTCCTGCATGAATTGCAGTCAAGGCCCTGCATTTAGTCAGCATTCCTGAGTGAGGTGAAAACATAATTTGTCTATATTGGGCATTTTTTGTACAAAATTGTAAAATTGAACTTTGCTAAAATGAAATTTGTATTTTCACTTAACAATTTATATTTTCACTTCATAAAAAGATTAAGCATAAATCAAAAACAGCATGCATCAACAGGAAATTCACCAACAAAATATCGATATTACGAGAATTATATTGTGTATAGCTACTTTAATTAAGAAAATGTTCAACCATAATTTGGAAAAATGTGGGTGGGTCGTGAGAAACAATAATGGGGGCCACTATTATCGTTTATTTCCTTTGGGGCCACCAAGTCTCCAGTTACAGCCTGATTGGAATTAGGAAAAATATAACTTAAAACAGGGAAATGGATTTTGATAGTTTACATTTAGAGGATTGAACAATGAGAAATAAAGTAGCACATAATCTTACTGTCAGAACATTCATGTAATAAAAACATGTCCAAATCAATCAAGGTCAACAAATTATAGTTTACAGCCATGCAAACTTTTTTTTTATTATCTGAATTGAAACTGTAACAGAAGGTAAACATACGAAGTACAATATTAATATAAATTAAAAAGGAAAGATATACTAATAAAATTTTGTATTTTGGGACGGGTGATTTTTATTAACACAATTTTCTAATTATTTAAGTTCATAAATTCTATACTTTGTACATACATATTTTTCGAAATAATTCGGGAGGGGTGGGGGAAATTAGCATTACTAAAAAGGTCTAATTCTTTCAATAATCATAATGGAATGACAACTGGAACATTAGTATTATGTCTGCAAAGCAGCTTATGGAGAAAGAACTAAGAGAAAAAATTACACTTACTTCTGTAGGTCGTGAATCTTTTTCGCATATTTCTCATAGTATGGATTTTTAACCAATTCTTCTTCGAAATTCTTCTGGGGAGTTGACATTGTTCTGATCGCAACAACCGGCCGAAGAAAGTTAGTGTAACAGAGATCTTCAGGGACACAAGCACGTGAAATAATCCACCATAACCTCATTCGCCCGAAATTCATTTTCATTTAATTTTTTTAATATGCATTTGAAATGTTTGTTATACTTCTACAGTTACAAAAAATGCATGGCAATGTACACAGCAGCTCAAATCGTGAAAGAATATCTGAACAATTTTGGCTGTTAGAAACGTAGGTAGCGTAGACAAAAAAACATTCAACGAAGCCAAAATTAATGTGATTGGCAGCTTGTATCAGTAAGGATACATTGAACAAACAAGGACTTTTGCACAAGAAAATCACGTTCGTTCATATCCTTCAAATCTATTCATAGCTGCGTCCACACCGGACGGCATTTTCATTATGTCAATAACATTATTTCATCATGAGCATTAATCCGTGAATGAGTGTTTTCAACATACCCAATAAGAGGTTGTAGAATTCATACTACTACATGTAACGCACAACTTCATTGGTTGTCAGAAGATTTGAAGCATGAAACTGTAATCTTACGACTTCATGGATACAAGGTTTACGAAGTAATTTCGTACCAAACAAAAAACAAACTCCATGGACGGAAGCGTGCTTGATGTATTTTCGAAATTTTACGTTTTTCAGTGGATTTCATTATTATCTTGCATTGTGCACGTAGCAACGTGATGAATATAATAAAGCAGAATTGAGAATTTTGTCATTTTTACATTGACATTGATGTACAGTAAGTATATTTTGATTTTATAGTTAGTTGCGTGCCGAAGGTCAAGGATTAACTCAGTCGTATTCAAGGACAAACGGATGCGAGCGAAGACGTGAAGGTTGGCAATATTTCAAAAGACACATAAACAATGTAGTATGCTGAACTTCTTAACACCCAGGACTCTCCAATAACTACAATGAATGAAATTGTACCTATGTGATATTACACAATTTCAAGTTTCACATGACTGTCTTGTGACGATGACTTCCTAATGTCAAAAATGGGTTGTGTTCGAGGGGTTTCCCTGCCGATTACGATGACATGAGCGATCTTCAGGAAGTAAAATGAAAAATCATGTCCTTCCAGTTGTTTCTGTGTGGTGAGTGTGAAACGAACGTGAAATACATTTGATGTCACTGAAAATTCGAACAGGCCTTAAGACGAGTTGGTGTTAAAGACAGTTAGCAAATTGTTTTCTTCATCGTTTACCATTGTCAGATGGTCCTGTTGTATGGTTCAGGGCTACCGAAAATTGTACCTGCACTTTATTCTCTCGAATTTCACTTACGGAAAGATACAGATAACTGGTTTTTGCAGGGGGTATGAAGTAGTTGCCTTTGTATTACCTATCTATATTTTTAGTTTCATATTCACAATGTCACTTGCTTAATAGTATGAATGTCATAGATTTATTTTCACAATGCAGTTATTTTTTTAAAGATACTTTTTAAAAATGCAGATCATTTTTTTAAAGATACTTTTTACTACTTTAAGATTAAAGTTACTTTTTTAAAGATAATAAAGCATTCCTTACTATTTTGCTTTCCTGTCATTTCATTCTGTCCATATTTTAAAGAATTCCACGTGTGATGGAAGTGTCAATAAAATTTTTAATGTAACTTTTGTATTACATATTTAATTGCATGTTAACTCTCAGCTTTTAGAAGAGGCAGTTGAATGTTTATTAACCTATTTGTGACCACTGGATGTTTCTTATTACGGACCAAACATAGGACACACAAGACCAAATGTGCCTGTGAGAATTTATACATTGTTTTCAGATTATTTATGTATAGTCCTAAATATTCATACACACCACACATTTCTTATTTATTCAGGATTCAACTATACCTTCACCCTCGTTAATTGAATATTAATGAGAAGAAACGGGGTCATCACATGCATGCCCCTGTTCACTTCATCCATAATGGAATGCTACAGCTGGGGGGGGGATTGTACCAGAAGCTGAAATCGCAATACTTTTTACAGAGAAATATAAAATATATAACTAGAGCCCGGACATTCAGGCTTTTTTTTATTTTACCTAAAACATGTAAAAATTAAAAACATTTTTATAAGGAATTATCATAAAAAATTAGTTATTAAAATGATTTACATTTCTATTCTAACTAAAATTTACATTAGTACTTCACATGTAAGGAATCAATATTTTCTTGGTAATCTACATTCCGTGTGACCGTACAGTATTATGGCTACAAATTTATTTTATTTGTGATGCTCTTTCTTTGAAATGATTTTTGTGGACTCCCTTTTGAATTTTGAACTGCCAATACTTAAAACAGAATTATATTTTTCTTCGCATTTGTGAAATTGCCAGCACCGAAAACAGTATATCAGCTGTCCTCAAAAGGGATCGGAGATCATACTCAAAAGTTAATCAGGATTCCTTGTGAGAAATGAATGTTGGTTGGCATCAATGATAAAATTGAAACTCTTGATGTGTATCCTCTTTCTTTTTTATTTAGACTTTTAACAATGCCTCTGCGTCCACAGAAAGACAAAATATGACTTCACCTTTGTCTTGTCCAGGCTTGCGGGTATATAACCAGCTTGATTAAGATCAATAAGGGGAGAAGAAAAGCAAAAAATAATGTAAAAGGCAGAAATATGTACAAATAAGACAAAATGGCAAAAATAGGCATCAGAAGCTAAAATAGGCAAAATGAAAATTACTTAAACAAAACCAAAAGCACAATCAAGTAATTCCTTTTGTCAAAAATCATGAAATAATAACAATAACAAAAAGGCAGTTTGCCAAACGTCTGGGCTTTATATATTACACTAAAATTATTTGCTTTTAGTAGTAAAGGAAATAACATTTCATGGTTGTTTTCTACCATTTCATTTCTAAAATACAATGTATGTAATAATGTCATTTTACTAATAGTAGTAGAAATAATAATAATATTCATTGAGCTATATATAATTAAAATCTAGGGTGATGAGTAAGGTTTGTGGTTATAATGCTCCATTACTATAAGAAATTATGATGTAGTCGGATTAAAATTAGTTGGTGATTGACAGTTGTGCTTTTGAAGCTGTTGGTTCATTCAGTACGAGTATGCGATTTGTTTACTTTTATAAGTGTTTATTTTTGGGTCCTGGGAACAAATGCTGATTGATAAGCAACCTGTCAACTCTGCTCCTTTCCACTCACAACTGTCAATCACCAACTTCTTTTAATTGGACCATAGTAACTATTAAATATGATTTAACGATATTAGTATTGACAATATCTAATGCATTTAACAATCCAAGAAGTGGAAATAAAATTTTGGGTGGACATTCCTTATCTTTAGAGAAATTCATTTAAGAAGGGACCATATTGACAGATACCACTTGGCTACTGGCAAGAAATCTGCAAATTATGCCCATGTGCTTAATTTATAAATGTGTTTGTTTGTACATGGCTCACTAGTAGATGGCTTCGACACAACCTCTTGCAATACCATTGCCCAAAATGATGTTCATTTGTTTTCCGTTCTGTGAAATTGGTCTTATAGTAACTTTCTTATACACTAGTCCTACTACAATTTGTCACTGACCAGTTTTTGTTTGCTTGAGACAGCTCAAATAGTAAACACGAAACAAAGTCAAATGCAAATGTGACGAGAAGGTTTTTTAAATTTTTTTTAAGGCAAGTCATTGAGTTTGCACTATGTATGAAGCATTGTGTTTGTTGAAGAAAACGTGGAATGTTGTCCAGATCTGAGAATATATTTTTCATTTGCCTAGTGTTTATAAAAGTTTCAGAGGGTGTAGTTTCGTATAAAAATATGGAATTGATGATTCATGTTATATTTGCATTTAGTTGCTGTGTCTTGTTGATTAGAGAGTGTTGAGAGAAATTTTTCACCAGTTTGTGAAAAGTGTCCATTAAATATGTCAGCCATTGCTTGTGGGTCTTGTAAAGATTTGTTTTTATAGTCAAGTTCTACAAAATGAATCTAATAATAATGTCCTACATAGCTTTTGTTTTTTCATTTGTCATAATTTTTGCTTTTGTGATTACTGTTTTGAGGATTGAATTATATGTTTTGTAATATGTAATAATGTTGTAGCTAAATTTGTTATGTGCTAGTATTTTGGACTTGTTGGGTTTCTTTCACATGACACTTTGATGCCTGTGGTTATTCATGATTTGTTTTTTTGTTTCCTTTGTTGACTTTTTTGTAGAAAAGTGGCATTGAAATGTCTTAAAATTATATTTATGAATGAGTTCAACGTATTGTTTGCATTGGTTGCCTTATTTACTTCATCTCAGTGTAAGTTGTGGAATTTTATTGTTTTCTTGGGAATAGTTATGGGTTTCTTGGTAAATTGTTTTATCATTTTGTTGTTAATTTTATATATATTATTATAACTATGGTTATTTGCTTCTGTTATTAATTGATCTGTTACAGAGCTACTGTTTTTGAATACTCTGGTTGGTGTATTTAATGGTTGTTTGTAGATTGTACAGTTTTAGTAGGTGTTTGAGTAGATTTTCATTAGTTGATTTTGTGAGGCAATTTATGTTAAACTGCATAAAATAATTTTATACTGTCTACATCTTGTAAGTTTAGTTAGAATGACTTGAATATTCTTAAAAATATTTTCAAATTTCTTCTTAGGCTTTGTTTGTTATATGCCTAAGACCCATATTATCAAACATTGTCCAAAAATACTTAACATATTTCAACAATAAGATTTAAGTAAGGTATTGTTTGTTGCAAATTCTTCAAAAAAGTGTTATCACGTAGTTACCTCATGATATCATGACGCTGTTTCAACATAGTATCATTTGAAATCACATTGCCATGATTAAATTTTAATGTAATGTTTCATTCCAGTTCTTTGTGCATTTGATATGCTTTGGTTATTAACTTCTAGCTGGTTTGTTTTTCAGGCAATTATATGTGTGGTCCAAAGAAGATAATCCGAAGGAAATTATAGCACTTTATGTAAGATTATTTCAAAAATGTTTTTGCCTACAAGTTATTTGTAAATAAATAGTAACCTAGTGTGACATATTCCAGGGTCTATGCTATTTGACAAAATAGTTTTTCTGACCATGCATTCCTTGAAGAACATGTTTTTGTTCATGATGGCGATGACATTTATTGTTTTGTATTTTGTGTGGTCATCTCAAGGAAGAGAAGTTCGGGGCAAATCAGAACCCCCAGAAAAATTCTTTTTGTGTCATTTTTCGTATGAGGTAATTTTAATGTTTTCAGTTAGGAATAAATAAAATTTAATTTTGTTTCTCTAATATTTTAATTGTATTTAAATGGTTTTCATCATAGGATATGAGAAACACAGTACAATCTGATAGCCTTCCTACTATTTATTTTATAACTCCTACATATCCTAGAAGAGAACAAGCTGCAGAATTGACTCGGCTAGGTCAAACACTGATGCATGTTCCAAATTTGCATTGGATTGTTGCTGATGATAATCAGGCTTGCAATGATATGGTTACAAAGCTGCTGAAAAAATTTGGTAAGTTAATAAACATTTAATTTTAATTTATTTTTTATTACACATGCACTTTGCTTCTAGCTAGCTTCTTAGCTACTAGCCATCAGAACAATGCATTAAGAGCGTGTCCATAGCAATGGATGTTAAAATGCCCAAGAGTCCATTTAGCAGACTCGTGTTTAGATTTTACCAGTGGTCATAAATCTTTGGATAAATGTCTTCTTTGTCCCCCCTTGTCGTTTTGTTCAGACCGTCCTTGGCTCATTTTGTCCCTTTCTTCCCCTTTTTTAATTTTGTCCCTCTTGTTCCTTCCTTGCTCTGCGATTGACCCTGCACCTAAACCCTTCTTACGGTACAGAGTTATGACAATTCTTAAGTTATGAAATTGTTAAATGTTTATTTTGAATAACTAGAAATAACAAAAAACATTATATGTAACTCGTCCTCTATGAGTCTTTAAGCCGGAAGGTTAATTATTCAGATTCACTATAGCTCTGCCTGTTAGTTAACCCTTAAAGACTAATTTAGAGGACTTGTTAAATAAATAACTATTATAAGATGATTTGGTACTAAACTTGAGTTTGATATTTTTTGTTGTTTGTATCTTTTTAAATGTCTGTTTGCTTTAGCTTCTAATCTTGTCTTCACTTTGTGTATTTCATATGCTATTTGTAGAGCAACATTTTTTACTTATTATATTTTGATGTAACTCTTCTGCTGTATTCTTTTTTATTTCTTTTGTGCAACCGAGTGATGGGCAATCTGTGGTGCAGCAGTCAGATAGATAATCTTCCCCCGCTTAAGCTGAGGTCTGATACTCATCTGTTCTAAGTGGAATTTGTGGCAGTTTTCCTCAGGGTTTTCACATTTTCTCTGCTTCTCTTCCATCTTCATACTTATTACTCATTATAATAATCATCCCCAATCGATCAGTTTAATTTTAATTATTTATTTTAAAGTGTATACTTGTATAAATGTTTTCAGTTTAAATGTAAGTTCATTCAGTTTTTTTTTAATAAGCAGTATGTTATACACTCTCATTTTACAGTTATATTTATGTTCTGTCTTATGTTGCTTTATTGTTTTAAAGGGATACCTTTTACACATATTGCCAGTCCCATGCCAGAAATATACCGGAAAGCGGAAACAATTCCTCGTGGAGTAGCGAATAGAAGAGCAGCATTAAATTGGATTCGCAAAAATGTGAAATCAGGTGTTTTTTACTTTGGGGATGATGATAACACATTTGATTTGGAACTCTTTGATGAAATTCGTGATACCAAAAAAGTATCAATGTTTCCTGTAGGTTTAATTGGTGATTATGCCGTAAGCTCTCCTGTTCTCAAAGAGGTATGTTTATCTTTCAGATTATTCTTTTAAGTATAGAATATTCAAAGTCCTGAGCCAAAAGTTGACCATATTTTGCTTCTCATGAGTTTCTTGAATATTTGTAGTCATTGTTGAACATTGGAAGTCCAGGAATTCTAGGGTGTCTCAAGTTTCTTTTTTAACTTCCGTGACTTCATGGAGCTTAGTGAAGCAATTTGGCTAATGGTGCAGGCTTATTGGCTTTTCGCCTCTTAAACTTTTGTTATTTCTTTTGGTTCATCCCAAAAAAATAATTTATTGTCATTTGTGAAAATTATTTTAGAGAATTTGAATTAGGAGCTGATGCTTGTTATTAATTGATTTCTTAATGTTTCAAACTTTTGATGTCAGTTATTTTTATAGTTGCATTACAACCAATAACAAGATTGCATTCCATATTTCAGGGTAAAATCATTGGGTTTTTTGATTCATGGCCTTCTAAAAGAAAATTTCCTGTTGATATGGCAGGCTTTGCAGTAAACATTGAATTATTATTAAGTCACCCTAATGCTTCCATGCCCTATAAGGCTGGCTATGAGGAAGATCAGTTCTTGAGAAGTCTGGGATTAACAATAGGTGATATTGAGCCTAAAGGAAAATCATGTACTCAGGTAAAAACTACTACTCTGTCAATTTAACTGCCTCTTTTGAGAAAACTTTAAAAACTGATTTTTCTGGCAATACATTTCAATACATCACATTTGACTTAATGAGAGGATGTGGAGGAATGGAGTTGAAGTACAATCAATGTGCATCATTTATCTACTGTTCATTACTGTAAATTTTGACTTTATCACCAACTGCGTACTTGCATAATACAGAAAAAATATTGTAATACTGCAGAGGAAAGTGGCCCATTTTCATCAGAAAGACTCGATGGAGCCCTGATATAAAAAAAGTGGATAAATCATGTTCCTACATGTAATAAATTACTACCTCTAACTCGTGTTGTCAGAATCCGCATCTTTCCTAGATACCAAAAAATTAGATTACAGCAAAAAGTGTTTGGCCGTCTGCCTGCCTGCTCATGGTCAACACTATCACCTAAACTGTACAAATAGTTTCCTCCAAAATGGATATTCCCCAGTGGTTCTAGTCATTAACTCAAAGCCTTGAATTTAAAACTTGATGTAATTTGCATCAAACCTTAACATTTTCAAAATTTTTTAAAACATGGCTACAAAGTCTTGGAGTATTTTTTTCTTCTTCTGGGGTAGAGCAGAGTACGCTTAAGAAAATGGTGCAAGTCTCATTTTTATGGAATTTTCAAAATTTGCAAAAGTCCAAAAAAGTTTTTTCGGTCTTCCTAACTACATTGGAATATAGAGATATTTTTCCTTAATAAAATGTGATTTACAAAGACATCTTTAAATAAGGTCATGTAATTTTTTTCAGAAGTTAGTAGTTTTTGCGTAATTTTGTGTGAAATATAGACAATTTTTTAACAATTATTTCCTCATTAAATGGTCTCAAATTTTATCTTAAAATTTTTTTGTCAAATAGAACAAAATATGCTTTTAAAAATGGCGCAGTCCCATTTTCAGTTAACTGTATTTTTGAAAAAAAAAACATTTCATAACTACAATATTGATTCTAGAGATTTTTTCATTAATGAAATCTATTTTAAGAAATTAATTTTTTAACTATTTTTGCAAATATTTTGCTTGATGGTGATTAAAACAATAAAAAAGGTTGTTTTTTTTCTTAAATCACCTCAAAATGTATTCTTTAATTTTTTCCCAAGTGTAGCAAAGTATGCTTATAAAAATGACACAGGTGCAGCTTTTGTTGAACTCTCCAAATGCTTGAAAATTGCAAATGTTACAAATAATGTAGAAAGTATTTGCCGTTGCTCTAGCACCACTAGTTTAGTTATGTAAATGTTTCAAAACTCTTTTAAAGAAAATTTACCTTTTTTGTTTTATTTTTTATTTTACTTTGGATGACACTATAACGAAGTGTTATATACAGAATAGCTATTGACAAATGTAGGTTCAGAAATGCATTATGAGGTTTTGTTTACATTTTTAATACAGATCCTTGTCTGGCACACACAAACGACTAAGAAGCCTGTTCCTGTGCTAAAGTTCCGTACTCGTCCTGACAACAGTCTTCGAGAATTATACGAGGAATTACACTTTTTAGGAATGGCTGATTACAGTAGGAGTAAAGGTAAAATTTGTCACTCCTATAATCATGTTGATAGTAAATTATCTTCTGGAAATAGCAAGGTGTTTTAATCAAATTCATTGCTCTTCAATTTCTTGCTTTTAGGGGTCATAAGTTATGTGACAAAAGATGGTGTCACTCACAGGCTGTGAAAAACCAGTTCTTCTACTGAAAAATTAAGCAATAATGTCTTCAGAGGAAATGAAAGCACCATTGCAGCACGAGGTAGTTACCAAGTCTGTTGCTGATATTTAGTTTGTGTGTCTGTGGCAGGTGAAATTTCTCAGGAAAGAATGTGTGCATTATTTATGGATTATAAAAGAATATTATTTTAAAGAGAGCACTTGAAATATTTTGATTTTGTTGCATCTTGTAATTTGTGATTGCACTCTATGGCTCGAGGTCAAATATGTTGTAATGTTGCAAAGAATTACATACTTGAAAAATAATGGGTGGAAAACAGTGAGCCAAAGCACTGCTTCTTACAAGGAAGGAACAAGATATGCAAGAGGAATAATCGGCATGTACTGATTTCAGCAGCTATGATCCTGTAGTTTGGCAAGTGAGAAAAAGGATGTCTGGGCAGTTCTTGTCCCCTCTTGCCCTACAAGAGGGCTACCCCATGTCTAGCAGCTACATTGCTCTTCCTTGCAAAAGCAAAGCTATCACATCATGCAATTGGATGCTGTAGATCACAACTTCTCACAATGTTTTCCTTTCTGTTGACTGTGATCCTAGCAATGACGTAAGTTCTGATGAGACTCATTTTAATTGAGTGCTTGGAGGGGACAAGAGTTGCTAGTGAGAGAAAGCCCTTTTTCTTTTCTTTAGTTGATGCCTGTAATGAAAAAAATAGAAGATATAATACAGTTTATACATAGGGGAATATAACAATGAATTTATTCAGGTTACATTCATCATATGTGTGTAGATGCATTACATATTTTGTGGAGTAATGTGTGTCCCAAAAGTCAAACATCCCAACTACTTATGTATATTAGAAGGAATATTTGAGTAGAAATAAACATCTTATTGGCTAAAAAATGTATGCTTGGAGAAGTTGGGACCCTTGCATGGTTTTCGCAATAATAATAATAATAATAATAATAATAATAATGCAAAGGTGTCAGTAGTGGGATGTTATTTGGGGGATTCAGCTTGATTGTTTTATAAGGGGTAGATTACACTGGGAATATTTCAATTCCAAAATCAACACTACATATAGTTTACTTTCAAATTTTATCACAATTTGATTTGCTTGTATAAAAAAAAAAAATGTTACTCATCTGCCTGTCTAAATTTTGGCTAATAAGCATGTAAATTTGAATGCAAATATTTATTGTACTCTTATACATTTTAACTGAGTATTTTAATGTTTGTGAAGTATGAAGCAATTGTTACAGTAGTTTAACATTCCTGAGAATGCAGTCGTTTATTTGACAGTCATGTTCGCTCATGGCATTTGCTTCCCATTAGACTGTTTCTGTAAGAGATTAAATAAACTAGTGATATCAATCTGCACCAATGTGGTGCATCACTATAACGTGCCTGGGAAACATAGCTTCCGGAAATCTTAAAACAATCTAGAATTAAGTAATGGCATATTGCTTTAATATAAATAAATATCCAAGTATGGTTATGTAATGCACAGTATTTTAAGTTATGTACCAAATCTTTGTGTCATGTTTAATTCTTACATTTTGTAAATTAAAAAACAGATGTTTCAATGAAATGGTGCTATGTGATGAAAGAAGTTCACTAACTGGTTTTGCGCAAATGTAAAAGATATTTCATGACTTTTATTCAGTATTAAAAATGTTTAATTTAGGAGTTCAAAATTTAACAATATATCAAAGAACATTTTAGACCATGATAAATATCATTAAGCCTTTGTAAAGTCACTGAAGTGAGTTGGTGAAATTTCTCAGGCTTTTTTCATCTTGCATAATTACCATTTAAACAGTTTTTAATGTTCATCATGGTCCTTCTGTCCAACATTTTAGAATGCAACAAATGCTATTAATTTTAAAGTATACTCTAGGTTGTGCATAGTTCATATCAGAGTGTGAAAAGATTTTTAGAAATGTGATGTCAAATGTATGTTTGATAAGTTCAGTTGGAAGTCATGATCTGAAAGAGAACAACATGGTGCTTGGTGTGTTAAGAAAATCTCAGGGGAACTATGCAAAATATTTTTTATTTGCATTGGACCCAATATATTTTATTTTGTTCTAATTTTTGTTATAGATACCTTTATAATTTTGATAGAGCTCAAGGAGTAATAACAATTTTGTCTCTTTATGATATTGTGAAAGCCAGGTACTCCAGCATGGCTTTTGAACTTGTAGGAAACCTAAAGAATTTGTGCTGTTGTTTTGTACAAAATATTAATATTACAAAGGAATTACTTTGCCTTGTAACTGTACATAGTTCCTCACAAACTATTCTAGCAATTTAATACATGATACAGGTTGTGTGAAATATAGGTGAAGTATATTAATACTTTTTCTACAATCGTTGAACAGTACAACCATGTACAGTTTATTTCATCTTAAAAGGCATGAATGCTGATTTGTATTTGTGAATACATCCAAACAATATTTGTTTGGAAATATTGCTTGGGTTAGTTTATTTATACAATTGTGTGGTTATGAATATGTGCAAATTAATTTATTGCAAGTTGTCTGTTTCTAATGAGGTAAATCATTTTGAGTATGTTTGTAATATACAAAGTTTGAATAAAACAGTTTCCCATTAAATGTGTTATGTTGCTAACATTTTTGTCACAATAGATTGTGTGGAGTATGCAAAGGAAATAACATCCAAGTCAAAAGAGGATATGGAGGAGCTTGTACTGCAGGCCTCATGATATGTCTGGCTAGGTTACACTACATATAACAATATTTAACATTGCAATTAATTGATGACAGGGTACTTTATCATAGACTGATAAAACTATGTAAAAATAAAACGAGAAAATTTACGATTTGCAGTTTTATTCACATTTAAGACTTTTCCCCTCCCCCCATAGTTTTGCATTTCCTTGATTGCCTCAACTTTCATAAAAATTAAAATTGAAACATTTGCACAAAGGGGGTAAATTTAAATTTCCTTTAAATACACTACACTAGAAAAGTCTTATGTCAACATAATCACACGAGGTATATGGATGCAATATATTTCACACAAATATAGTGATGCTGTGTGCATGGACTTAACTATCTTCAGAGAAAAAATCATAATACAATTTGTAATTCATTAGTTACTAGGCCTTTGAATACGTCACTAGGACCAGAAACAACTTCAATATATTGACATTTTCTTTTCATCAAGTATAAATTTTTTTGTAGAAAAATTGTGGATTGTATTTACAGCTTATAATCAGTGGGGATGTATCATTTTCAAGATAAATTTATCATTCTTTCTGTATTTTGGTTGTTTGTCAAACAACTGGGATAATCTCATAAAGTAATTAAACTAATAAATCTTTTGCTCTGTAGAATACTGAAAATTTCTAACGACTTATTCAATATCTTAAAATGCTATACATAAGCATCTAAATATTAAATACATTAGTCCATATTCTGTGAGCCATTAAACGATTTCTCAGTAATAGAGCAAAATTCTTGCTAGATATAATCAGTGTTTTTACATTATATATCACTGTGAAAAGCCTATCCAGGAATCAAAACATCAAAACTTGAAACAATAGTAGTTATTTGTAGTCAATTTTTTTGGATAAAACTTTGTACCTTGTAACCCAAAGGAAATGACTCAGTCAAGGAACATTTTATGAGAAAATCTTGAATATCACTTTGTGCATTGGCATTGTGAAAGATAAAAGCAGAACAAAAGACAATTAGCCTTCCTCCCCACCCCCGCCCACACACACAATTGACAACTATCAAAAGTAAGAAGTTCATTCCTTATCATACCAAGAAATAAAATTCAATGAATGCTAGTTAATAAATCTCATTCTTGGAATTTGCCATGATTCACTTGCAGCAAATAAAGCCATTTCATTTTAAACAGGATATTAAGATGAAAATTAATGGTTACTCACAGGGCTTAATTTCTGGAGGAACAGTGTTCTGGTACCTCAGGAATAATAATTATTAAATTATATAATAAGTATAACTATTTCTATTAAATTAATAATTAATTTAGGGTGCGTTCCAAGACCTAAAGTTTTATAAATCAAGCACTGGTTAATTTTGAATCTGAAAATTAAGAACTCTCACTGTAATTCACACATGGAAATCATGGGGTCCCTTATTTGCCAAATATGACCAGATCATCAGATAGAAATTCAGAATTGGAATTCTGGTGAGAATCTGCGGAGGGAAATTTTAAATAGGCGAATGTACTTAAGCATTTCAAACTTGATTTTAATGTAGCAACAACAGCTCTAATTATTTCATTTACTTATTTGTTTGTCACTGGTATACGGGTTAGTGTAAGGTTTGCAGAATATAAGAAAACATGCACAGAACACACTTGTCATAGTACATCACATTGTTTTTAACTGTTTTTGACATTAAATAAATTAATAAAAAATACTTCTTAAAATAATTCACGTGAAGTAAATTTAATTTCTTGGTGGTCCCAAATAAGGTGAGTGGTACTTCTATGTGATAGCACAATGGAATTTTAAGATTGTATTTTCATTAATATAATATAAAATATTTTGGTAATGAAGAATATTATAGAATGTACCTCTGATATAATTTACTGAAATACAACACTACAGTAACATTCATATAGATCAATATATTGAGAGTATATGTTTTGATTCCTAGGTATTGGGATATGAATAATAATTAAAACTTCTTTCACACTTTCTGTAGTTTATTCCATGTTGTTTGTTACTGGTATATCATTGATGAGTAAATAGCACTGTATTGTAATTTTGGTTTTTTGGATGGATAAATTTTATTTTTTAATTATCTTTGTTTCATTATTTATATTATTAATTATCAATATTTCATTGTTTATAAATATTATATATTAATAATTATTCATTCTCTTAAACAAGAACTTTTATCATTTTAATTTCTTTAATACATTTTTGACTTGCTTTTCCCAATTTTTCAAGTTGTAACTTAAGTGTTGAATTTCTCCGACATAGTTTTTAAAGATTGATTGATTTCTAGTGATTCCAGTTGCATCAACTGTTACGGTCATGAGTCCCATAAGCGTAGTGCGTTGTTTTTTTCCCCCCTCGTGACGTGAGGTGACTGAAGTTGCCCCGCTTGATGGAGAGATCCGGCACCAACCTACTGGCAGCTAGTGGGGTTTTCCTCAACCAGGTACCTCCCAAGTGGAGCACTGCTCCAGCTGGGACAAGCTATAAGCTCCCAACCGGTCTTCTGGTATTTGTGATAGTGTAGTGCATGTGTGTGTAATATCTAAGTTAGGGCAAGGAATGGGAAGGAAAGATCACACATGATCTGTGTCCCATTTGGTAGGTTACTTCTCCAGCATTTGCCTGGTGTTCATTGGAGAAACCATGGAAAACTGATCAGACCAGCCGGATTCTAGAATTCTCCTCCAGACAGCAACAGTACTCGACTTAGCTATCTGGGTAGTGTCAAAATTCCTGCCACCATTGATACTCAAACCCCAGGACTTCTCAGTCAAAGGCACAGTAGTGCAGTGACATCAGTTGATGCCCTGTGCCACCTCTCCCACTTTTTTAAAAAGAAATTGTGTAGATCTGCATGTAATTTTCCAGTTCTTTTGTAATTCTATAACTGCTTGGTTAGCCAACTACCAGTTCTACAAACCAATAATTGGTTTAGTTTCTGTCATTTACTTAGGGGTATTTATTTTGAACAAAATTTGGTAACTCAATTAAAGGAAATAACCCTCTAAAGAAATCTTAAGATAGTCCATTGATTTTATGCTTTGAGATTTTCCTGTAAACATATTTTTAATCAATTTGTATGAATCTCATCCCATGCATATTACATTTTGATGTGAACGACACTAATGAAACTTGACTGAAAATAGATAGATGGCATGATGCTTGGGACATTTAAAAGAAACTTTCTTTTATTTGTCTATCAATAGAAAAATATCAACTATAAGACATGGTTAAGCAAGAACGGGATTATTTTACTAAACTGAATATTCAATTACAAGGACGATACAAATTTAATGAGGACAACGTACAGTCATTCAATAATTGAATTGTATTCTATGTCAAATGTTCTCATTCAATTTGCACATATGCATTATCAGTGAAGCGATAGACCAAATGTTCTGTTCCTTACGTTACTATACAACTTTTAATTAAAAATTATTTATTCACTTAACATTTTTTTGAAAACTATATACAAAATTCACTGAAATATATAGTTGTTGGAAAACAATGTTTCAGAATTACTGTAATGTGGTGCTTACATCTCTTAAAGTGTTATGAAAAAATGTGTTCATTTTCTGTTTCTCATTATGCACAAAGCAGAGAATTTCAAGTTTTTATTTTTGTCAGAAAATATTAAGTCAGTTATGACTTAATATTGTTAATTATTTATAATCCATGAATATTTTGTTTTGTAATCAGTGAATCAGTGATTTTTAAAAGTCCACTTTTTCCATAAAAAGAGTTGAATTATATATTTTCTTTGTTATTTTTCAAACAACAGATCAGTTGAAAATGAAACTTGTCCACCATAAAGCGTGTTCTATTGCCAGCTGAAAATTCTAATGATTAGGAAAGAGAAACAAGTTTCTCTTATACACTCCCGGAGGGCACCTGAATTCATTGCATGATTAATAATAAATTACTAGTAGTGTGAGAGTTGATAATATTGAACACAGAACTAGTATTATCAGCTAGGAAAAGCCTAAATGCTTTCACAGCAACAGTATTAACACGGAGGACATCATAGACTTCAAAAGCTGCTGGTCAAACTATCAAACTATTTTAAGAAGATAATCTAATCTCTTGCTCATCTTAGCAGCCCTCATCGAATGTCTGATGAGACACTTTCCAAGTATAAGCACTAACATATGATAGAGAACATTTTGGTTACCTCATGGCATGCGAGTATACTGACGGCTTATCCACTACTCATTCATATTGGCAAAAGGGAATGCTTATCCAGATTTGCCTTTCAAGAAAGTTTATGGCTCAGCTGTTCTTCTAATTAATAGAAAAAAAAAAATAACCAACATTCAAAAAATAGTAGAATATATCCCACATGAATATCTCCTTTTCAACCAGAAAGTTTTGATATAGCCACAGACTTAAGAGGAAATTGATGATGAGTAAATGCTAATATTATTTATTTAATAAGAATGTTTTTCATGCCCATGTAGCACAATAAGTTAATTCACCTGATAATAAATTTATTCTATAAATATATTGTTTATAAGTCCAAAAATACAGAATTAAAAAAAAAAAAATCATAATTATTTTAAAAAGGAAATATGACCAGGATATAAAAACAGTTCTCTACATCATAGAAATGCAAATCTGAAGTTACTGAGTACCCCAAGCAATCAATAATCACTAGTTCTACACTTTCGCAAAGAACACAATTATCCCAATGCCAACTGCAGATGATGTTTTTTTTTTTTTTTTCTCAAAATTATGGAACAAGAACTTATTTCCCTTTTCAAATCACCAATGCAATTGCAAGAACAGTCAAGATGATATATCTTTTTGCATATACCAGATGCCCCCAGAAAGAACTGGTTTAAGGAAGGCAAATACAAAGCCTGTGGTTTCAAGTACAATTCTGGAGTGAAAAGAATATGGAGAGATATTAAATGAAATGTTGAAAATTTAATCTCTTTTGTTGGCTGGAATTTGTGAAGCAAGTACACGCGCACACACACACACACGCACAAAAAAAAGGAAACTAATATATTGGTATATATCACACAGTTGTTCAAGACAATAATTTAGTAGTATTCTAGTGCAGTATTCTAGATTGGAAAGCAACTTTTTGTTATTACCTGAACAACATGACCAGATACGAACAATCTAATGTGAACTGCAGTTCAGATCAGGAGAAAACAAAGTCCATGCTTTCACTCCTTAATAATTCACACACTTCATGGAAGAGAGACTAATCAAGACCTAGACCCAAGCAACACACTGTACCATGAGCTTTTATAAAATAATATAATTCAAACAAATAGTAACATGAGCAGCATACACTGCAAAGGGAGGTTTAAAATGGTAACAAGCATGCTCTTCACATTCTGCTCATGCACAATACTAGTGCCACAATTCTAAAATCACATTTCTGACCTCTGACTGGAATGTTTTCTATCAAAATGTAAGTCAAAACAGAGGTAACATGGGGGAATTTAGTTTAACATGTGACTAAAAACAACGTTCAGGATTGGAGTGTATTATAATTCATAAATTTTTCTAAGAACAGAAGCTGAAGCATTTCATGTCAATGAATCTTAAATAAGTATTCTTTATTCACAGATGAAATATGCTGAAAGAAGTGTTTTTGGTGTGAAGTTAAGGATCATGAATGTAAATAGAAAGAATTTATTTCCAGTAGTTATAAAATAAGTTTTTTTGCATCACATTTCATGTACTACAGTGAAGGGGCATTATAGATAGCAGTATAAAATTGATCAAAGGAGGTAAATTTGTTCTTTCTTCTGGTGAAATATTTTCATCATCCATAAGTAGAAAATATACAGATATTTATCCGAGAAAAAATAAAGGAGGCAATTTAAAATTACTTCCTTCTTCTAGTGTCATATCTTGATATTGACAATCAAGAACTAAGAACTTTTCTGAATATTCAAGAAAAGTAAAGAGTGATGATTTTGAGGGTCACAAGATTAAAACATCTGTGCCAACATCATGTGTAGAGATACCAACACACAACTTTAGCAAAAGTGGTTGCTTACACAGCTGTCAGCATATTTTGATAATCCCTTGTAGCAAATACTCATAAAAAGTGTTGGTAAGAAAGTGTCCCTTCTGTGTCTTTTGAGTAAACAATTAACATTTGTGGACTTTTATTGTTGGCTTTTTGCCACATGTGCCACATTTTGCCGAACATTCAAAGCAACAATTAAAACTTTCAAAGTTTGACCAATAGTAAGGAAATGTTCCAAAATAATAAAGTGAACTTTTATGCAAAAAGGATCATAATGGAACTGAAATAATCAATGTATTAAAGATGTTAAGTTTTACTCAACATCCTTGAAGTATGTACCTGACTTTCCAGAATAACATTTTTCTCGTCTTCAGTCTAAATATATCAGTGTATTTCAATATTAACAAATAATCACTCTAAACCCTACAAGGAAGACGGGCTTACTATGTAATTATTAACTGGCAGGAATATACAGGGAATTCTTACCTTATGGTTCTAGAGCAGAGACAATTATTTGCAATACTCTTGGGAAATGATTAGTAAAATTGAAAACTTCAAAAAGTGTGCAAACATATGATAATGTGTTCAGTAATACCTCATCATTTTGAGAGAAAGTAAAGTAGATGAAACAAGTGAACAACAATAACCTGACTGAACTTCTATTACCCAAATATGTATGCACAATTTTCAAATTATCAGCATAAATGTACTTAAAAAAAAAGCCTGTAAATAACCATTTATTTAGTATCAAGCATTTTCTTCACTTCCAGAATACTGTACATACACATGAGGGCTTATTAGGAAACCACATCTTTTGGTAAACATGAAGAACAAAGGAATCAATGGATCAGGATCTGCTAGTGCAGCAATGAAATTATAATTATAACATCAGTTCACCACCCCTACCAGAATTAATAATATCATACTTAGTCCAACACTAATTTATTAAAATATCATTACGAATAGGCAATATATTCCTTGCTTACAAAATTGAACAGGTTGTAACAATTGATGTAAACATGGAAAAATAGATAATCAGAAAGATGACTAGAAATGCCACTGCCTTGACAATGAGTATAATAATGTCTAAAAACTGTAGAGAACACCTGACAGTGTTTTCAGGTAAGAAGTTGAGACAGAGAGAAATGTGAAAGAAATAAGTTGTATACATAGCCTAGGCCTATGTATCATTTTCCCTGACTTTTCAATCTATTTCAGTTTTTTTTTCTTGTTTTTTTTGTTATTGTTTTTGTTTTGTTTTGTTTTTATTGTTTTGAGAGACACTTCACACCAAGGATAGCTCTTCCATTAGGTTCTGCTTTTGAATCATACATGTAAAATCTCAAGTAGCATTTATATTATATATATATATATATACAAGACATAAATACAATATTCAAAGTAAACAAAGTGCATTCTTTTTATGTTCCTACAGTTACGCAAAAAGCCATTTCCAGTAGAAATGAAAAATTTATATAAGTGAAGAAATAAATAAAACAATTAGAAATAACACACCAATACCACAAGCAGTACCATTCCTCACGGGCAGGGGCTACAAAGGGAGTTGAATGTTAAGGATATATTTTTCACTTTATTCTGGCACAGGGAATAACAAAATAAAAGTACACTCACTTCTAAAGTGAACGAATATTTATATTTATAATACATTTCAATTCACGTTGAAACTATCTGCATATATCGGCATTGTGTTAAATGCAAAGCATTTCAAAAAATGGACATCTTCATAAGAAAATGTCAGAGGTTGTCCAACAGCTTTCCTGCAGTAAACCAAACAGACCAAAATATCTGAAAGACTCTTGAAAACAAGGAACATCAGTTATAGTAATAACAGAACAATGCAACGTCCATTAATAAATACTATTTTCCAATAATTTATTGTATTGAGTTTTCAACATGGAAAAGTACAAATATTGCAATACAACCCAAATTAGGTCAGGATAACGACAACAATGCTCTGTGAGGCAACAGGCAAGGATGGGTAGGAGATCACTGCCACGGACCTGTTTTTTTATTATTATTATCATTATTATAATTTTTTTAAATTTATTTAATTATTTATTTTCTTTTCTTTTTTTTCTTTTTTTAAATGCTTTTTTAACCCCTGTATACCTCAGCAGTGCACCTCTTAAATACCATTTACTGCTTTGCTTTCTACTGCTTTATCTTATCACAAGAGATCCTTGGGATGAAATGACTGCGCATAGCACAATATTGTGTATTTGTGCTTAACAAAGCAATTCACAAAATTACTCTAAAACAAAATACTTTGAACTGACTAGTTTCTTACACTTAACAATAAATACAATAAATTAAATGGGATAGAATTTGGCCATTCTAGTTAGCAATCTTTCCAACTTTGTAACTTTCAACCTAATTTCCTTGCATCTTCCTTTGGCTGTATCCTTTTCCTGGAACTTAAAAGATAACCAAAGTCCAACCCATTATTCACTTTCAGTTATACAATAAATGACAGCAAAACACAAAGACAACTAAGGTAAAGGCTCTAGCTCTAGTGTTGATACTGCTCTTCCACCTCCTCATCACTTGGCTAAGTTACTCAAACTAGAAATATGGCACCTGACACTCAGAACGTCTCCTGAACTACCCATATAAACCTACAACTAGATGAAAAATCATTTAAGTAGTGAATCATTTCAATTGGATAAATACAACCCATCAAATACATACACCTAAATGCAATGTGACACTAGACAGAAGCAAGAAAGGCATGCACTGCAAGATAGAAGCAGCAGCAGCATGGCAGCCAGCTGTCAAAGGCTTCAACAGCTGCGTTAACGTTTAGCAGAGAGAAAGTACGGTACTTAACAGACCAAACTCACTTTTTTTTGTTGTTTTTTTGAGAATTTTTCTTTGTTTTTATTTCAAAATGTCCTTGTGCTCAAAGCATTACCGGTCAGCCCATGGTACAATACTATTAATATGCAAGGAGAAAAAGGACTACAGTTATTAGTTTTTGGGCAAGTATGGGAGAGGAATGGGAAGGGGCGGGTAACCAGAATGGCCGCTCACAAACGAAGTAACAAATACTTCACAAAATACTAAAACGAGATTCATAAAATTTTTTTAAATTTGTTACTTCAGTGAGCAGGGAATAAAATATAGGAAAATGGTGCAACATGAGCTGGTGGCAGGACATGAAGTCTGCATGCAGACACCACACCTACCAAGACAGCCTGTGCATCGCTATCTTCATCACTTGATCTAAAGCTACACTTTAAGAACTTCTTAAGTTATTGCATCAATTACAGTTTTCTGAGGTACTGTAGTACAGAAACCCCTGTCTCTTCTATAAAAGTTTATGGAATGCTTAGTCACAAAATGGTTCAGTCCTGCACGCAGCACTTTGGCTGCTGTGCTGGAAAATGAGGATACATCCATACAGCATGAGTCTGGCCCTCATAATAAATCAATGTTTACAACCTAGAGCTACACCACACAAAGATGAATACAGGTCCTAGAGGAAGCAAGAGTCGCCAATGCAGTCCAGTGTGGGGGTTTGTTGCTCGGTTAGGCCAGAGAGAGTGCGTCCTCAGCTCACAATATCATTTCAACAAACCACGGAGGAACCAACCAAGGACATTTTGTGCTTATAACATTATTTTTATACACACATATACTGTGTCTATATATATA